CATTCAACTCCGTTTCAGGACCTTATTTTTCTTAAGCCTTTAAAAAGCAACTTCTAAATCTCTTTCATTCATAATTGCAGTTGTGGATGTTAGCAACACAGTGTTTAACATCTATCTTCAACAGATTACATCTTTTTAAACATTGAAACCCACATATAGACTTCAATAAGTTTCATTAATTTTTAAACTATATTTACACATTTAATACATCTTATCTTTTTAACTACTCCAAATGTATGACCAGGTCAACATACAACTTTAACAAGCAAAGTGCTTCTTAGCCTGTTGACTGGAGCTCATGTCTGCACTTAGTCTCCTCTGTGGGATGTTGGCCGTGAGCCTCAGATCAGAACTGGGAGTGAGTCATGAGCCTCACACTTGCACCTTTCTTCAAGCCTTGAACCTCTGTCATATTACTCCTTTTCCATTTTTGGTAGACCATAATCAATAACCTCAGATATGCAGATGACACCACCCTTATGGCAGAGAGTGAAGAAGAACTAAAGAGCCTCTTGATGAAAGTGAAAGAGGAGAGTGAAAAAGTTGGCTTAAAGCTTATCATTCAGAAAACTAAGATCACGGCATCTGGTCCCATCACTTCATGGGAAATAGATGGGGAGACAGTGGAAACAGTGTCAGACTCTATTTTTTTGGACTCCAAAATCACTGCAGATGGTGACTGCAGCCATGAAATTAAAAGACGCTTACTCCTTGGAAGGAAAGTTATGACCAACCTAGATAGCATATTAAAAAGCAGAGACATTACTTTGCCAACAAAGGTTCATCTGGTCAAGACTATGGTTTTTCCAGTGGTCATGTATGGATGTGAGAGTTGGACTGTGAAGAAAGCTGAGTGACGAAAAATTGATGCTTTTGAACTGTGGTGTTGGAGAAGACTCTTGAGAGTCCCTTGGACTGCAAGGAGATCCAACCAGTCCATCCTAAAGGAGATCAGTCCTGGGTGTTCATTGGATGGACTGATGCTGAAGCTGAAACTCCAGTACTTTGGCCACCTGATGTGAAGAGCTGACTCATTGGAAACGACCTTGATGCTGGGAGGGATTGGGGGCAGGAGGAGAAGGGGACGACAGAGGATGAGATGGCTGGATGGCATCACCGACTCGATGGGCATGAGTTTGAGTAAACTCCGGGAGTTGGTGATGGACAGGGAGGCCTGGCGTGCTGCGATTCATGGTGTCGCAAAGAGTCAGACACGACTGAGCGACTGAACTGAGCTGAACCTCTGATAGCAATTACTGAGGCAAGAATACTGGAGTGGGTTGCTATGCTCTCCCCCAGGGGATTTTCCATTCCAGGGATCGAACCCAGGTCTCCCACATTGCGGGCAGATTCTTTACTATCTGAGCCACTAGGGAACCTCAATAATTCTGGAGTGGGTAGCCTATCCCTTCTCCAGGGCACCTTCCCAACTTAGGAATCCAACTGGGGTCTCCTGCATTATAGGCAGATTCTTTACCATGTGAACTATCCGGGAAGCCCTCTACACTTATCTAGATCTAAATCTGCACTTAATTTGATACTGTATCCTTCTTATATAGTAGTTATATACTTGTCTCACAGTTTTCTAGTTACTGTATCCAAATACAGTATGTTAAGTATATTATGATGGCTGTAATTTATTTAATTCCCTATTGTTGGATATTAGAGTGCTTCCAATTTCTGCTTATAAATGTATTGAAAGCATACTTGTAGAAATATTTTATGTACATCCTTATTTCCTTGGGATAAATTCCCAAAATAGAATAACTGGGTGCCATTGCCCCAATATAAGTTGTGTAATGCACTATCTACTGGTACAAAGCTTGTGCTGCTCCCATTTTTACTCCTTGATGAACCATAGGATCATTTTGTCAAATTATAGGAAAAATACTATTGGGATTATTAAGAGAAAGTGATTAATCTATATTAATATGGTAAGATCAAACTCTTTATGGTATAATAGAGGTAAAATAAAATGTATAAGCAAAATTATGTGTTTTCTTATAATTTGGCAGAAAGATCCTAAAGTTCCCTTAGGGATGAAAAGTATAGGATTTTTTTCCCCACTAGATATTAGAACACATATTACACATCTAAAATTGTGATATTGGTATTGAAAGAGTATAGCTGTATTATATATATATATACACTTTCATTCCTACTGTTGAGTGCTTTCTCTCCCCCAAATAAAGTGGATACTGAATTTTATCAATGCCTTTAAACATCACTCAAGGTGATCATATCTTTTTGGTTTACATTTCTTTGTATTTAGTAAAATACAAATTACAGTCATTTCCTAATTTGCAAGCTTGTATTTCTGTAGTAAATCATTCTTTGTTCTTAAAGAGGAAAAAAAAAAAAAAGCCCTAGCAAAGCAGTGTTACTGTACTAACAGTTTCTGAATTTTGCACTTGCCTTCAAAAGCAAGATTAGTCTACAGGGATCTTAAACTTTTAAAATATTATCTAGACTAACTTCCAGTATTTTGCAATGTAAGAAGACTTGGAAAGCTTTTCATCTGCTTGTGCTCTGGCAGAGTATACCCTAAACAAATGACCTAATGGGGTTGCCAGCCTCAAAAGGAGCTGCTGTGGCTTTTGCCACTTTCCAGATACTTGCTTGTAGGAAAGTCTCACCTTGGGAATGAGTATGTTGTAATGATCATCGTGATGATGAACGTTGCGTCCCAAGATTGGTTGACACATGATGATGTGCTTTATATGTTTAATCTTCTTAATGAAACCCCAAGGAAAACATCAATCCTGCCACTAATGACAATAAATGGGCTTTGTACTCACAGAGTGCTCTTCCTCCCAGGAGCACAAAGCTCTTTATGATTAATTATTTCAGTCATTCTCACACTTGTCCCAGTAGGTAGATAGCGGAATGCTTCCTCTTTAAAATAAAAAAAAAGGCAACTATTTTCTTCTGTTCTACATTCCATGTTCCAGAATTAGGTAGCTACCTTTTAAAGACCATCTGTATGTCTACTAGAGTGGACCTGGGTTTCAAAATTACAAGCTGCTTTCACCCACAAACACCAAACTCAGAGCGGTTGTGGAGTAGTGAAGCTGGGTGGAATTTGGATGATGGTTTGGCAAGATGCTATGAGCGGTGCAGCCTGAAGCTGGCAAAAAGAAACAAGTGATGGCTGACTTAGTGCTTTGGTACCTCCATTAGAAGTAGTTGTCCATGGTGTTGATGGTTTGTTTTGGAAAATACTTACTGAGTCACCTCTTCGTTAGACCTACTCTTCCCACAATACTGAGCCAGGGCGCTGCAGAGAGTCTCTGTCAGACCTATTTTACAGAGAGGGGCCCAGGTCCTTTCTTACTCTGCTCTGATGCCTGAGTATCTGGAGGCTTTTCCCAGGGCCAGGAGAAAGGTGAGGGGCCCGAAAGTTTAGCTAATAACTCTTAGCGGATCTCCATCTCTTAGTGATCCTCCTAGCCCTGCTAGGCTAACTTTCCTCTTGCTTTCACTTCCTCGGAAATGGACAGTGCCTTTCTGTGGACACATCTTTGGGGACACAACTAGAGCTACATTCTGAGCTAGCCATCCACCTCATTCTTCTTCTTCTTACAATATGTCAGTCCGTCTTCAAAGTTTCATCACTTCGGTTCTGCCTCTTCAGTTAGACTTTGAGCTCTTTGGGTGGCATTCTGGTTGGCGTGTATTTTTTTTTTTTTTAACTTCTTTTTATTTGCCCCTACACATCCCTCAGTGTCGGGACATTTAGGTGCACAATAAACATTTCTGGTTGATCTGTTTACCATTCACAACTGTCAACAAATATTGCCTGTCCATACTGTCTGTGCCATTTTAACTTTCTTTCCTTGTCCTTTTGTTAAATAAAGGCTTGGCTGTCATCACTTTGAGTTCTTCCCCCTCCCAATTTCCACCCCCTGAGGTTACTCTGAAAGGGAGGTCTTTAAAATGCAAAGGATTGTGCTTAAGTTGTGCAGTGTCCTCTGCGTGGGGACTAATTACGAGGTTTGGAAACCTCTTCAGGTGGTTGGGATCTACAGCAGGACGAAAATACTGCTTTCCTAAATTGAGAACAGCTGGGGCTGTATTGCTGGCCCATATAAAAGAGGTGGTGCTGGTACTCTGGGCTGGGGAGAGAAGTCTCTGCTCTTTGGAGCTTGTGGAGCTTCAAGCAGAGAGCACCTTTAGTCCCTGGTGTCCTGGTGGGTAAGTTATCTGAGCTGGTCCTCTGGGTGCCTGCTTCTATTGTCGGATAGAAATTGTGGTGGCTGCGTGGAAATGTTCTCGGTTACTAATTCACCATGTTGTAGTAAATTATTTTCTTCTTCCAGAAACCAGTAGAATTTGCTCCCTAAATGAGAGATAGCTAGTAAGGCTTTGGTATCTTTTCACTGTGTTATTTTGTAGGCTGTCAGCGTTCCTTTTGTATGGTGTGAATCTGACTGTAAAAGGATAAACAGAGTTAGTACCGTTTAAAATATCTTGAATATGTTCTGAAAAGTAGTCACTTAAAGATTCTAGTTTTTTACTATGAAAATAGAAAGTTGACAGATTCAGAGAGTAACGATTATTCCATACATGTAAGCAACTCATTACAGTTTTTTATTCTTTAAGTTCATAGAGGAGATGCAGTCTTAGGAAGGAATGATATGATCTCTGGGGAGGTTCTGGCTTATTATGACTTCATGGTTAGCAACAAGTGATAGTGTCTGTTGAAGTGTTTGCAATGCTGGGTCCTGACTTTTATTTAAAGAAATTTAAAAGGAATTGTTTATTAGAATGTTCCTATTTATACTGAAATCAGCTCAAGAAGAGAAGAATTCCGAGATGAAACAGTTCAGTGTTTTATAAATAAACTCCATCTCAGCAGCTTTTAACTATGTTCTGACGATATATTTATAAAGCAAATGGCTTTGGTATTTATTTCCTTATTTTGATAATGTTTTTGTTTTTGGATGGTTGACAAGTGGACAAGCACGGTTTCTGAACAGAGTTCTGTTTTGTTTTTCCAGGTGGGATAGTAACATCTTTGGGGGAAAGAAAATTGGCTTCCTTTCCTGAAAGTGGTAAACGTATAGCAGATGGTGGCCCAGGAGGAACCCTAGAGAGATGGAGACCATCTATGTTTTGTACTAGGAAACAGATAAATCTGAAGAGTCCATGTTGATCTTGGAAATAGAAGGATTAAAAAAAGTCGAGTTTCCACAAAGAGCAAGAACTTTACCATCTTCTTTTTGACCTGAAGACCAGGGGACAATGGATATCATAGAGACAGCAAAACTGGAGGAACATATGGAAAACCAAACCAATGATCCTGCAAACACTTACACAAGACCTGCTGAGCCTGTTGAAGAAGAGAACAAAAATGGCAACAGTAAAGCTAAGAGCTTATCCAATGGGTTGCGGAAGGGCACCAAAAAGTACCCGGACTATATCCAAATTGCTATGCCCACAGAATCGAGGAACAAATTTCCCCTCGAGTGGTGGAAAACGGGCATTGCTTTCGTGTACGCGCTTTTCAACCTCGTCCTGACAACCGTCATGATCACGGTTGTGCACGAGAGGGTCCCTCCCAAGGAACTCAGCCCTCCACTCCCAGACAAGTTTTTTGATTACATAGATCGGGTGAAATGGGCATTTTCTGTATCAGAAATAAATGGGATTATATTAGTTGGATTATGGATCACCCAGTGGCTGTTTTTGAGATACAAGTAAGTAAGGTCTAACATGTTTTGGGAGGGTTGCCATGAGTTTATATTTAAGTGAGTAGATGTGTGATCAAAATGATCTGTCTTGGTTTTATCTGATAAGTTCAGTCTTATCCAGGCACTTGATAAAAAGAAGAGAAAGAAAGATCTACAACCTTGAGTAAATCCAGTCATTATTCCATCAGCATTTATTGAGCAACTCTATGAAAGTGGCAGGTGTGTGTGAAGGTGCAGAAGTGCTGTGGTGAATGACTCAAAGCTTGTAAATTTAAGGTGCAGTTCTGATTTCAAGCAACTTGGCACTATGGTATTTGCATGATACATTAAGAGGCTTGGAAAGGAATACATTCACTTCATCATGCTTGTGTTATTCCAGGCTCTTGACAGGTGGGGAAAGTAGTCGGCTGTTACTCAGAATGTGATGACTATATTGGTCTACAGTCAATCACAGCAGGCTTTGAGGTTTGCCTCTCTCCAAGAGTTCTCAGATTTTACATTTCTTTCCATTTGCCTATTAGCAATTCAACCACAAGAGTTTTCTTAATAAACTGCATTTAGACCTGGGTCCATGCAGTTTGGGTTTTACATACCTGTAGTGAACATGCCTTCTAGTTTCCTCACGCCATCACAAAGGAACATCTTGTTCACTGGCTTCAGTCTTCCCTTTTTAGAATAGCAGAAATCAGGAAGTGTAGTAAGCCAGGTACTTTTGCTTTGAAGAAACTTAAAAATAGGACAAAGCTCTGAAGTGATTATTTCTGTTTCCCTGTGAATTCAGATTGCTAGCCCATTAAAAAAAGGGGGGGGGGTGCTCAGTTCCTCTTTTCTTCTCAGCCAGCATTCAGATTTTTTTCCTCTGCTAAGATTTTAGTAATTAAGTCACAAATATAAATTTGATCAAAACATTGCCCACAAATAGGGCTTTTGAAAGTATAATATATGCTAATGTATTCAATACACTTTGGAGTCAAATAGGATTTCAGTGTTAATGCCACAAGATAATTTTTTGAAGAGGGAATTTTTGCTGTATTATTTTCTCAGTTGGTTGTTGCTTTGAGATTTGAAGAGTTCAATCTATCTTTGCTGAAGAGTTCCATGTCAAGTTTGCAATTTTGAAAACTTGTTCCACAAACTGAAGTCATTCTTGAGCATTTTCTTGTGAATAAAATCTCTCTTTCATTATGTATAAGTGAATCACATAGCTGTCAATTGTCTTAGAACTTTTTACAGAAGGTGTTAGTTATGACATGCTTCATGCTGAAAGCTAAAAAACTTTTAGCATTTTCCTTTTCAGTGTCTGGAATTGACACAATAAAGAGAGACTGCTCAGGCCAAAGGTATTTGCTCTCTTTTATTTTAGAGCAAAATGTTATTCGTATATGTCTGTGAAAATAGAAATTTTCCAGGGTTCGGTAAGCAGCTGGCTTCCAGCCTGAAGTACCGTCTTGGTGTGTTTGAATGTTCACCCAGAGGATTGTTTGCCTGTCCATGGCCATCTTCGGTTTTACCACATCAAAACTTGTAGTCACACAAGCCAGCCATGCATTTTAATAGCATCCACTGTTTTGGTCACAGTCCACCAGCAAAAACTTGTTGGGGGAAATCGCATTACTTTTCCTTTTTCAGATAGATTTGGGTCTTACATTTTAGTAACCGGTGGAGTAATTTTTATAACTTGTTTTGCACATTCCAGCTGAATAAAAATTCTATTTGCACTCTCTCACTTAAGAGCACCTTCAAAGCAATGGGGGAAAAAAATAACTGGCAGTGGTTCTCAAACTCAATAAGACGGCAGAGTGCATATTTCACCTCTAAGTTAATTTTCTGTTCTGAGTACTGCTGAACTGTGAATACTGGAGTGAATATAATCAACTCATCATAATTCCTGCTTAATACTTCACCTTGTCTAACAGAGTGGAGCACAGTTCAGCGCTCCTTTTGAGCCTGGGGTTGAATCAGAGGGAGAATAGTTTTTCACTTAACCAGATGGAGACAGTCAGCAATGTTTAGCACCTGTTCCTTTTCAGTATTGGAAAAGGCAATGCTAGAATAGTAAGCCTTTGAAAGCAATGCCTTGCAATAAATAAATGCTTTCATCAACTAGTCAAGGTGGTTTTTCTCTCTATATTTTGACCCCAGAAACCCTGAAATCTTCTTAAAATAGCTCTTGGAGACAGACAGCTCAAATTATATTTGTACATAAGTCTTTAAATTAGAAGTCCCAACAGTTACCTGAATTAGACCTTGATCCACAGCAGACTGCAGTCTCAGAGAAAACTTAAAATATGCCACATGCCTGGAACTATCTGTTTTTCCAGAGATCTTTGATCAGTACTGGTTTGGGAAGTTTGAGAGCTCTAAAAATGAGGGGCCTGGAGTAATATATTTTATGTACTAGGAAAGTTACAACTAGTAATTCTAAGGGCTTTGTGGGTCTCACCCATGTCTTAATCCCCAGAGCCCAGAGTTTATAGACCCATCTCTGGCTGCATAGCAGGGCCATCTTCAGAACTCTTTTTTTATTTTTTTAAAAAGTATTTATTTGGCTGTCCTGGGTCTTAAGTGTGGCATGCAGGATCTTTAGTTGCAGCATGTGGGATCTAGTTCAGGGATCGAACCCAGGCCCTCTGCACTGGGAGCAAGCAGTCTTAGTCCCTGGACCACTAGGGAAGTCCTATCTTCAGAGCTTCCCATGCCCATTCAGGAACCCATGAGGCAGTGGTGCAGACAGGCAAAGCCTTTCCCTTTGGAGACATTGTGCTCAGAGCGAGCTTCTAGGGACCACTGCCTTAGACTAAGGACTCAGAGAGCAACGGACAGGACTAATGTTAGTCAGGACAGCTCTCTCCACCGAAACAGACAAAGTGAAAAAGGACTTGTGGATTTTTTTATGTTTTTGTCTCTTTTGATCAAGAATGCATAAAATAAGGGTGAAATTTACAGCTTCACTCTTAAATATCCTGAAATGCACGAGGACCCTTTGACCGTCTTCAAAATATAATTCTCTGAAAATCTCTGTAGTCATAGACAAAATAGTTCATGCCAAAGTTGTCAGAATATTTTTGGATGGTCCCCAAATAACCCTTGCTTATATAACTTAGGTTAAATGAGTTGTCCCATTTCCCTATGTGCCCAATTATGTAGTATCACCTTAGCTCATTACTAAATTCCTCTGTGACCCTGCTCGCTTATACCTCTGCTATGTTCCCGAGAGAGGGCTTATTAATGCAGTGGGTTGACTGACAACGTAGAGAGGTTCATTGAATTCTCTGGCAAAGAGTGCTCTTTTAACGGGTGGTGGTTATTTAACCTTTAAACTACTTTAACTCACCAGAGACTCATCACACCTTTGGGGCTCAACCCACCTAGACTGATCACAGTATGTGAATCTTTAGTTCAGAAACCTGCAGATATTTTTTATTCTGTTAAACATTATTTTATATTGCCTTTAGGATCAAAAAGCCCCAGTAAACCTATTTTTTTTCCCATCCCTATTTTTCCCTTAGGTCAATAGTGGGGCGCAGATTCTTTTTTATCATTGGAACTTTATACCTGTATCGCTGTATCACAATGTATGTTACTACTCTCCCGGTGCCTGGAATGCATTTCCAGTGTGCTCCAAAGGTAAGCCCCTCCGAGTTACCCTTTAGGAGACGTTAAGCAGTGACTGAGCGCCTACTCTTTGTTATTCATTCTCCTACACACGTTCATATGTGTTAACAGAAATCTAGCACATTTTCTGCTTTGCTTTAGATTTTGGGGGGAGAAATGGAAATGTAGTCATAAAATGTATGTCTTTGTGCATAAAACTTATTTTCTCCTATCCGGAACTTACTGCCGGATTTTGGACTCTGCTTTTTTGCCTTCTCATTTTCTCATTCACCCGTTCATTTTGAAAGTATTAAGTTCCTGTTGTATCCCAGGCACTGTATAATAGCAGTGACCAAAATGAAGTTCTCCTCCTCTGAGAATGTATATTCTTATGGAAGGATGGCAATGAATAAATAAAGTCATAACTTGTTATATGTTGGTAGGTCAAGTCAGTTGAGAACAATAAAGCTGAGTAAGGGTGAAAGGGACTATGAGGGTAGGTACTATTTTATATAGGCTTCCCCCAGGGCTCAGTGGTATAGAATCTGCCTGCTAATGCAGGAGATGCAGGTTCCATCCCTGGGTTGGGAAGATCCCGGGGAGAAGGAAACTCACTCCAGCATTCTTGCCTGGGAAATCCCATGGACAGAGGAGCCTGGTGGGCTACAGTCCATAAGATCACAAAGAGTCAGACATGACTGAGCAGCTAAAACACAGCAACACTATTTTATAGAGTGGTCAGGAAAACTTCTTCAATAAGAAGGCTTTTAGACAACCAGGATTAGGGAGTGAGCCATGTGGATGGGGTGAGAACTCCAGGACAAGGAAATAACAGTCATGGTGCATTCCAGAAAAGCAGGGAGACCTGTGTGGCTGAACAGAGTTGTGAAAAGTTGAGATGACGCAGCCACAGGTTTCACGGGACCTTTAGCCCGTTGTAGGAAATTGAACCTTGGTGGTGACTGTGGAAGTGAGAAGTCATTCCATTTGGGATGTGGTTTGAAGGTAGAGCAAACAGTATATGCTAATAAGTTGGACATGGGTTTAAGAGAAAGAAATCAAGAGTGAACTCAAAGTTTTTATAACTAGAAAGATAGAGTGGCCTTTTGAACAACAGATTGTTGTTGTTGTTCATTCACTAAGTCATATTTACCTCTTTGTGACCCCATAGACTACAGCACACCAGGCTTTCCTGTCCTTCTCCATCTCCCAGAGCTTGCTCAAACTCATGTCCATCGAGTCAGTGATGCCATCCAACCATCTCATCCTCCGTCACCCACTTCTCCTCCTACCTTCAGTCTTTTCCAGCATCCGTGTCTTTTCCAACACGTCAGCTATTCACATCAAGTGGCCAAAGTATTGGAGCTTCAGCTTCAGCATCAGTCCTTTCAATGAATATTCAGAGTTGATTTCCTTTAGGATTGACTGGTTTGATCTGTTTACAGTCCAAAAGAATCTCAAGAGTCTTCTCCAACACCACAGTTCAAAAGCATCAGTTCTTTCCCACTCAGCCTTCTTTATGACCCAACTCTCACATCTTTATCTGACTACTAGAAAAACCATAGTTTTGACTATACAGACCTTTGTCGACAAAGTGATGTCTCTGCTTTTTAATACACTGTCTAGATTTGTAACAACTTTCCTTCCAAGGAGCAAGTGTGTTTTAATTTCATTGCCATAGTCACTGTCTGCAGTGATTTTGGAGCCCAAGAAAGTAAAATCTGTCACTGCTTCCACTTTTTCTGCTTCTATTTGCCATGAAGTGCTGGGACCAGATGCCATGATCTTAGTTTTTTGAATGTTGAGTTTTAAGGCATTCTTTTCATTCTCCTCTTTTACCCTCATTAAGAGGGTCTTTAATCCTGCTTCACTTTCTTCCATTAGAGTGTTATCATCTGCGTATCTGACGTTGTTGGTATTTCTCCCAGCAGCCTTGATTCTAGCTTGTGATTCATCCAGCCTGGCATTTTACATAATGTTCTTTGCATATAAGTTAAGTAAGCAGGGTGACAGTATACAGCCTGACACACTCCTTTCCCAATTTTGAAGCTGTCCATTGTTTCATGTCCAGTTCTAACTGTTGCTTCTTGACCAGCATACAGGTTTCTCAGGAAACAGATAAGATAGGTAAGGTAGTCTGGTATTTCCATATCTTTAACAATTTTCCACAGTTTGTTTTGATCCACACAGTCAAAAGCTTTATTGTTGTCAATGAAGCAGAAGTAGATGTTTTTCTGGAATTCCCTTGCTTTCTCTGTGATCCAACAAATGTTGGCAATTTGATCTCTGGTTCCTCTGCCTTTTCTTTCTAAACCCAGCTTGTATTTCTGGAAGTTCTTGGTTCACGTACTGCTGAAGCCTAGCTTGGAGGATTTGGACCATTACATTGCTGGTGTGCGGAATGAGTGCAGTTGTGCGGTAGTTGGAACACCCTTTGCCATCGCCTTTCTTCGAGATTGGCCTGAAAATGGACCTTTCCCAGTCCTGTGCCACTGCTCGGTTTTCCAGATTTGCTGACATTGAGTGCAGCATTTTAACAGCATCATCTTTTAGTATTTTAAATAGCCCAGATGGAATTCCTTCATGTCCACTAGCTTTGTGGGTAGTAATGCTTCCTAAGGCCCACTTGACTTCATGCTCCAGGATGTTTGGCTCTAGGTTAGTGAATCACACCATCGTGGTTATCTGGGTTATTAAGATGTTTTTTGTATAGTTCTTCTGTGTATTCTTGCCACCGTTTCTTAATCTCTTCTGCTTCTATTAGGTCTTTACCATTTCTGTCCTTTATTGTGCCTACCCTTGCATTAAATGTTCCTTTGTTATCTCCAGTTTTCGTGAAGAGATCTCTACCCTTTGTCATTCTGTTGTTTTCCTCTATTTCCTTGCATTGTTCATTGAAGAAAGCCTTCTCTCTCCTTGCTATTCTCTGGAACTTTGCATTCAGTTGGGTATGTCTTTCCCCTTCTCCCTTACCTTTTGCTTCTCTTCTTTCCTCAGCTATTTTTAAGTTCTCCTCAGACAACCACTTTGCCTTCTTACATTTCTTTTTCTCTGGGATAGTTTTGGTCACCACCTCCTATACAGTGTTACAAACTTCTGTCCATAGTTCTTCAGTCATTCCGTCTACTAGATCTAATCCCTTGAATCTATTTGTCACCTCCACTGTATAATCACAAGGGATTTGATTTCGGTCCTACCTGAATGGCCTAGTGGTTTTCCCTACTTTCTTCCATTTAAGTTTGAGTTTTGCAATAAGGAACCAATGATCTGAGCCACAGTTAGCTCCAGGTCTTGTTTTTGCTGACTGTGTAGAGTTTCTCCATCTTTGGCTGCAAAGAATATAATCAGTCTGATATCTATATCTATCATCTGGTGATGTCCATGTGGAGAGTCGTCTCTTGTGTCGTTGAACAAAGGTGTTTGTTACGACTAGTGTGTTGTTCTCTTGACAGAACTCTGTTAGCCTTTGCCCTGCTTCATTTCATACTCTAAGGCCAAACTTGCTTGTTACTCCAAGTATCTCTTTACTTTCTACTTTTGCATTGGAATCCCCTGTGATGAAAAGGACATATATTTTTTTTGGTGTTAGTTCTAGAAGGTCTTGTAGGTCTTCATAGAATCATTCAACTTTAGCTTCTTTGGCCTCAGTGGTTGGGTCATAGACTTGAATTACTGTTACGTTGAATGATTTGCCTTGGAAATGATCGGAGATCATTCTGTTATTTTTGAGATTGTACCCAAGTATTGTAGCTCAGTCGGTAAAGAATCTGCCTGCAGTATAGGAGACCCAGGTTCAATCCCTGGGTTGGGAAGATCCCCTGGAGAAGGAAATGGCAACCCACTCCAGTATCCTTACCTGGATAACCTCATGGACACAGGAGCCTGGTGGGCTGCAGTCTACGGGGTCGCAAAGAGTTGGGCACGACTGAGCGACTAATACTTACTTACTGCATTTTGGACTCTTCTGTTCACTAAGAGGGCGACTCCATTTCTTCTGCAGGATTCTTGCCCACAGTAGTAGATATAATGGTCATCTGAATTAAATTCACCCATTTGCTGAGACGGAGTGTGAGAATGGATACTGAGACTGTTGTAAGCAGGATTTATAGTTTCTCCAGGTAGGGTCATTTCTCAAGAGAGCTGTTAATCATCTTAGACTACAGTGTGCCCTGGTTTATAAAAAAGGAAACGTGCAAATCATGTGCTTTCTGGACAAGGGAGTAAAGCCTAACATTTTTTTACTGAACACTAAGCAGATGTCCAAGGTGGAGGGAAAAAATAGAGTTGTTCTAAAGAAGTCAACAGTCTCCTTCACCAAATATAGGTGTGGTTTGAGAAGCTCTAATTTTCTAAAGCCATCAAGGCAGAAAGTGTGTATAATTAAAACAGTGTACATATTGAATTTAAACATTGGCTGATTTCTAGTGAAACTAATTTAAGGCATGGGAGAAGTTCAGAAGCATAATAAACACCTCTAAGGGGTTATTGTGGTAGGCTAAATGAGGAAATGGCCACAGGAGAGAAGGCAAGCCCATCCTAGTAAAAGGTTTGATTTACAGGGATGAATTGCTATGATTACAGAAAGAAGTAAATTAGAGATTCTCTTCTATGGAAAACATACAATTTTCAGAAGCCACAAGAGCAAATGTACTGCTGAATAACTGAGGTGCAAAGGCTCACGAGGAAACTCTAGGGACATCCTTGCTAATCAGCCCCTGTGTTCAGTTGTCAAGACCCAGAACCTCTTTCTGAAGCATCAGCAGGCTGTGGGTGCCTAGACTGTGGCTCAGTAAAGCAAACACACATCAGTTTGTTTGACTAGAGATGACGTGGTTTGACAGAACAGGAAGCAGAATTGCATTTTAAATGTGGTCCAGCCTCCGGCTTCCAGCACTCCTTAGATTTGTGGTTACGAAACTGTTAGATAATATACCTGTCTCCTTTGTTGCTGACTCTGTAGAATGCCCTTAGTGACTGAGAGCAATGACAGAACTGTGTGTACTGAAACCACTTGCTCTGGGAGAAAGTCTGACCGGTCACTGATGCCTGACGTCACTTGTTACTCGCTGGGTGTGATCACAGAAGCCGTTGCAGTGAAGGGCCCTTGGTAGAATCCTTGACTTGAAGTTTTCTGGTTGCCTTCCTTCCTTCTCCATCCTAGGGTTTAAGTCCTTAGGTTATGATTTGCTTCATCCCACCTACCCAGGCTTTGGTTTGCAGGCACAAAATCTGAGTTCTGACCTTTGTGTTTAGATGAATGTTGGCCTGGTTATCAGGACTCACATCAGATGCTTTAGGTTTTCAAATCCCTTTTTCCACAGGAATGTTGTGCTGGCACAGCTGCTTTCCTTTTCCCGAGAAAGGTGCCCTCTCATCCCTGCTGTAGAGATCCAGAGAACCTCTTCTCTTCTAAATTGAAGGGAATGTGTGGATGGGAACTTTCTGGTTTGGCAGCAGCCAAGTTGATCTCTTTTGTGCCTAAGTTATTTTTGTGGGAAATGGTGTGTGGAGGTCACAGTTGGAGGAACCCTTGAGAACATTGAGCTCTGTCTGTTTTGGCTATTATGATCAATGCTTCTCTTTCTGTTTTTTTTTACATCTTCAACTCTATATCCAGAAATAGCATAGAATGGTATAAAAAATGAGGAAATTAAGAGGAACTAGAGTTTTAAGTGGTGTATGATGGAGGTCCCAATGAAAGAGAACAGATCTAGAGCTTCCCTGGTGACTCAGAAGGTAAATTATCTGCCTGCAATGCAGGAGACCTAGGTTCGATCCCTAGGTCAGGAAGATCTCCTGGAGGAGGGAGTGGCTTCCCACTCTAGTATTCTTGCCTGGAGAATCCCATGGACAGAGGAGCCTAGCAGGCTACAGTCCATGGGGTTGCAAAGAATCGAACATGACTGAAGCGACTGAGGATGCACACACGCCGGAAATAATCCATTAATCTCAACTCTGTTACCCACCCCTTCCCCAGTTTTCTTTCCATCCTCTTTTTGAATTTCCTTTCTTGAAATTCTATTTGGCATTTATGCTGAGCATGTTCTGACATCTAAGATAGCAGTGACAAGACTGAGAGATTAAGAACTGAGAAAGTACAGGAGGAGCGGAAGAGAGTCCTTCCTCTGTTCTGTGAAATGCTGTTGGAAATCTCTGTACCTCAATGCTGCTGAAAGGAGGGGGAAGAAGAGAACTGGTGGCAGTAGTATTTTAGCTCCTGGTTTGGTTATACTTTTGGATTAAGTGTTTTTGCGCTTAGAAAATCCAAGCATTGAGTTGGGGTGGGTGAGTGGATTTAAAAAAAAAAAAACTATTACGGTTTTGAAGTGAAGAATAATGTGTTCTTAAAACTGAGAACACAGTGGTCGGGTGGAGTGCACACCTTTTCATTTGATCGCAGTGTTGACAGTCTGTACCAACCGCACAGCCAGAAAATCCTGAAGGCCTACCGCAGATCTGATGAAGCACATCCTAGATTCTATCCGGCACATCAAGGGCTTTCACAGCATTTCATGTGGTTTGCAGTGAGTCCTGCAACTCCATCAACAGTCCTTTTCTTCCCCAGGTTTGCATCCTTTGAAAAGCGAGAAAGTAGTGAAAGTGTTAGTAATTCCGTTGTGTCCGACTCTTTGTGACCCCAAAGACTGTAGCCCACCAGGCTCCTCTGTCCATGGGATTCTCCAGGCAAGAGTACTGGAGTGGGTTACCATGCCCTTCACCAGTGGATCTTCCCAAACCAGGGATTGAACCTGTGTCTCTTATGTCTCCTGCATTGGCAGGTGGGTTCTTTACCACTAGCGCCCCTTGGGAATCCCTTGTGGATCCTTTACTGCCTTCTAGATCTATCTTTTCAAGGCAGGGTCACCTGTTACGTAGCATGTTTGTTTTAAGGACTGTCAACTCAATGAAACCTGTATGTTCTCTCGGATTTGCCTCCTGGGCTTGGCCTGAGCCAATTTTGGAAGGAGGTTAAGTTTCCTCGAAACCTCCAGTTTCTTACCTTGACCTCTAATCCTATTTCCCATCATCTTGTGCTGCAGAGCCCTACGCTTAACTATCACCCCAGCATAGTGTGTTTGCCTTTTTATAGGGGTCATCTGAATACCAGAAATCTTTCCAGATCCATAAGATACTTTTCATTGGAAAATTTTTAGACAAAGATTCCTGCCCCAGTTCCTATGGTACTGAACAGGATGGTTTTCCACCTGCTTTGGAGACTGGACTGTCTTCTCACCCATCTGTACACATCTTACCTTCTTTCACCACTGCACGTCTACTTGGACTAGACACTGCCTGTCTACACTGCCAAAGACTTGAAACACCACCACGATTGGCCTGGCTGCGTTTCCGGGGCCAGTTGCCTAGAAGGATCATCACTGAGTATGAAAGGCAGCATATCACATAGCTGTGCCCGCAGGCCCCAAGTGAATAGTCACTGATGGTCTTTCTATATTTTTCTTCTTTCTACTCTTACTTCGTTTTATTTCTGAGTCTCATTCTTTGATTTTCTAAACCTATTCACTTGATATTAGGCTGATCTGAAGTCTTCCATCTGGTGGCCCAGCATTTCAGTATTCCAATTTCTCATGTATTCCCACTCAATCCACTATTCCATCCTGTATACCTAAGGTTTGGGTTTTGTTGTTGGTTTTTAGTACAATTTTAAAGGTTACACTCCATTTACAGTTGTTATGAAATATTGGTTGTATTCCCTGTGTTGTACAATACATCCTTGAGACTTTTTTTTAATTGGAGGATAATTGCTTTACAATGTTGTATTGGTTTCTGCCATACAGCAGTGGGAATCAGACAAAATTATATGTAAGCACCCTCCGTCTTGAACCTCCCTCCCCTCTCTCGTCCCACCCCTCTAGATCATCACAGAGCACCCGGCTGCTCTCCCCATGTTATATAGCAGCTTCCCACTACTTTCTCAATTCACCCTATCCTCTCCTAGCCCCGCTGTGTCCACAAGTCCGTCAGTAAAACCTGTAACCTTGGGCAATCCAGGGGCAAGAATTCATCACTTGTGCTCCCCTGAAAGATAAAACTCGATGGGTCTCAACCTTTGGATTGATGATGGCTTGTGTCCACAAGTGCGTCTCCATTTCTTACACCTAGGAGTTCGTACCTCTCACTTTCCAACCCGTGTTGCCTATCCCCACCTCTCTTCTCATTGGTAACCACTAGTTTGTTCTGTATATCTGTAAGTCTGCTGCTTTTTTTGTTATATTCACTAGTTTGTTGCATTTTGCAGTAGATTCTACATTTAAGAGATCTCTAACTGATTAAGTTTTAATGGGTTATAAACCTTTGAATATTGTATCAAACCCATTGTCTCCTGTGTCATCATCATGGCTTCTGGGGCTTCGCCACCCTTGCCCGGGGAGCCCTTCACTGACCCCTGGCCACGGCACACCAGTTATCGCTCTAAGGATGTTGTTCCAGATCAAGCCACTCTTTTAAAGCAACCAGTACATCCCTAATCCATCATTTTCAAACCTATTTAAATTATTTAACATATTGCAGCTCTCTTTAACTGCAAATGTTTGGATCAGACATTAATACAACTATATGCACCCTCTAGGCTGCCCACTTAACACAAGGTAGAAATACACTGTAGAGTATTAGTAATGTGGAGGGCAGCCGAATCAAATATTAACTATCCGAAACCCCGACTTCCCCTGCAAAGAGGAAAGAGAGGAGCTTTGGTCTTTTCAGTGCGTAACTGTGGTGAAGTCATTGGTTATTAATATTTTTAAAAGCCTTGCCCAAGGACACACCACCACCAAGACGTATTATTAGTAACATACTGAATAATTTAAAACGTGTCACTAAAACTGGCCAATGCAATGAATAAAACCCAGTTTGAGGAGGTTCCCCCTTGGATTCTTTTTGACAAGTTAAAAAGGAAAAAAATCACAACTGATGACCTTTGTAAATGTCACATAAATTAGGCTAAAACTTGATTTATCAACTTGTGAATTTTCTTCCTGATCTTCTTGTGTCTTCAGCTCAATGGAGACTCTCAGGCCAAAGTACAGCGGATTCTACGGCTGATTTCTGGCGGCGGATTGTCCATAACGGGGTCGCACATCTTGTGCGGGGACTTCCTCTTCAGCGGCCACACAGTTGTGCTGACACTTACTTATTTGTTCATCAAAGAATGTAAGTGACAACTCCTTCCTGTTTTGTTGATTGTTGCAGCAAGCGGGATCCCTGGGCCCTGAGACTGATGAGCACTTATTCTGTTGAAATTGAGAGCCATGGGAGGAGGGGTGTGTGTGTGTGTGTGTTAAAAATCATTTCAACCAGTCATGAACACTGAAGGGTTAAATCTTAGCCCTGCCTTCTTGCTAACACTCAGCATGCCTCCAAAATTTCTCCCTCCTTGGTTAGTACTTAAGGTGCTAAGTCACTTGAGTTGTGCCCGACTTTGCAACCCTATGGACTGTAGCCCGCCAGACTCCTCTGTCTTTGGGATTTTCCAGGCAAGAATACTGGAGTGGCTTGCCATTTCCTACTCCAGGGGCTCTTCCTAACCTAGGGATCAAACCAGAGTCTCTTATAGTCTCTTGTTTTGGCAGGTGGATTCTTTACCACTAGTGCTACCAAGGTATGAAAGGCTATTTTAATGTTGGAATTAAGAGGAATTGTTGTTAGTTTATTGTAAAAAGAAATCAATGTGCTCCAGAGCCAAATGGGAAGGAATCTTGAGTGAAATTTCCATTTTACGGATTCATTTCATCATCCCCAATACTTTGGTTAATGTTTTCCTCTTTTTTAACTTTTCCTTGTCCCACTTTATTCTAATTTTGTCACTTCCAGTAGCTTTCTATGCTTTAATAGGCATCTTCATGAAACATTTTGCCAATTCTGACCATTTTCTTCTTAAAAAGAAACATGGAGATGAGAATGTGAAATATCTTTCCGTATGTATATGCTTAATTCTCATTATACAAAATTCTTGTGTATTCCAATAACTTTGTGGGGAGGGGGGTCTAGAATAATGTCTTGTTCATTGGAAGGAGGGGTGGGGATTTGTATTTGATTTTAGCTGCCAGCACGTCCTCTTGTAGATTTCTGAGGCTTTGTGTAGTTGGGCCCATTATCTCAAAATTCTTTTGAAGTAGTGATGCTTCTTCCTCCAATTTTACCAGCTGGTCAGTATTACCCTTCATCTTCAGTTGCAAGATACCCCATCCCCATGCCAGTGTTCTTTTGGGGTCTTATCTCAATTCTGTTCACTCGCAAAGCATCTCATAAGGGTCTTTGGGCAGAAAGCAGGAGGAGACCTCCTTTCTGTCCCCTCTACTCAGTTCTCTGCCTTCTTCTTTTAGCCATCCTCAATCCAAACAGGTTTAGACCCATCAAGGTTTATCTTCCAGTGGAGCAGAGGAGAATTCTTGCCCCTAGATTGCCAGGGATATATAGGTTTTAATTCTGCTTTGAGGGGGGCATTATTACAAAGAGATGAGAGTCTCTGAAGTAGATGATGTCTTTTTGTTTTTTGATGGCAATTGTATATCTTCTGAATTGTTTTCTAACTGCTACATACAAGCCTTGAGTAGGGTGAACAGTCTATTACATGTTCGGCCTTTGTCATACTGTCTGCCTTGAAGGCAGAGGGCCTTGGGCACCTTTCCCCTCCTCTTTATGTTCTTACACTGTTGGGGAAGTGGTGGGAGACAGGGACCTAGCTTTGTCTGTGCACCAATATCTCCTTCAACTTCAGTCTTCTGAAATTTCTAATACCTAGTTGTGGGTTCTGGGTTGCGAGCAGAGCAATTTATGCTGTGCGTGGTTCTCACTGTAACTTCTGCTCTAGAAAGGTCCCATCTCTGTGTAAGGCCAGTCACTTTCCAGTTTAGAGGTTCATTTGGGTGGCAGAATCTTCTCTCTAATCTGTGTATCATAAAAACTTATAGAAGGTGAGGATGATGGCAGGGAGGAGTTACAAGTTAGGAGTGATGCTACTGTGGGTGGAAAACAAAGTAATGAAGAGAAAATACCCCAGGAAACTGAGGGTCAGTTTGATAACTGAAGACCAAATGACATTACCAATAACAACGAAGAGACAGAATACTTACTCTGTGCTGGGCACTATTCTAAGCCCTTGGTGCAGATTAGCTTATTTAATCCTTGGAACCACCCCAAGAGGGAATGTTTTCCCCCATTTTTTTCAGAAGAAACTTAAGCATAAGAAAAGTGAGTGAATTAGCCACAGTCCACAGTTAGTAATTGGAGGCTAGCTTCAGCAGTTCCACTATCAGTTTCTTGGCTCTGTTTAGAATTTTTGGAAACCCAAGTTGTCTGATCTGGTAGAATTGCTAAGAAATAGTCTGGATGTTGGCTTACTGTTGTTCTTTTACCTCAGAGCAATAGGGCAACTTCTCTACTTTAATAAAGGCAAGTGCAGTATGTAGACACATTTTCTTCCCCAGGCATGGTTTGGGCTTGAGATCTTTAAACTTGTGTAAGTTTACATATAGCAAGGAAAGAATTACATTCTGCTTTCTCTAAGCTTTGGTGAGAAACAAAAGGGCAAATCTGTAATACTGGATACGAACCCAACTTTAGGCTCCGTTCTGTATGTAAACAAGTATCCCATGTTTAAGTCCGCTTCCTATGCAATTAGGGGAAACAGCGACCTTCTAAATTATACCATGTGTTGTTGTTACCAGTAAGCAGTGGTTCCAGTGGTTCCTTTGACCATTCCGCCTCTAGAGTTAGATGCATCATTTGTATATTTTTGCTTTCCTGACTTTTGATCGTTTTGGGCACTCCTTCTTTGACATTCTGTTGTCATGAGTGGATTATCATTGGGACCTAGGTTCCTTCCTTATAAAGTCAGCCTGGAGAAATCCACCTAGCTCTTAGTACCAAATGTCTTGCTAGTTGAGAAAACTTCTTCTTTCTTTTTCTTTTTTACCTTGCTACTCCACAAAGTCCATTGTCTCTGGTAGTCATGGACAAGCAGGGATCGGATCCCGCCACAGACAGTGGAGTTCATTAAGAATTGTGTCATCATCTCTTAGCTCAAGGTTATCCCTGGTGGTAGAATGAGAGAGCAGAGAGGATTGCCATTTTGCCATTTCTGTTTGAAAATAGTTTATATTAAATCTTTTATTTGGGTCAACCAGTGTTCTCAATTAATGAGCAGTGGTCCCAATGTAGGAGCTAGTAGGGAATACATTTTTATGGGAGAGCAGTGCTAGGGCGTCGAGATATTCCTAAAGCCTGATTTTCAATTCTGTGAGTAGTAAAATGATTATTTGGGCTACCTCTTTACTCCCCACCTCCTTCAGCTTTGCTTCTTGTGGATGAGTATTAATTGCTCAGTCATGTCCGACTCTTTGCAACCCCATGGACTGTAGCCCACCAGGCTCCTCTGTCCGTGGGATTTTCCAGGCAAGAATACTGGAGTGGGTTGCCATTTCCTCCTCTAAGCAATCTTCCTGACCCAGGGACGGAACCAAGGTCTCCTGCATTAGCAGGGAGATTCTTTACCGTCTAAGCCACCAGGGAAGCCCCTCTTGTGAATAAACCAACACAAAGTAATTCTGGTTTGCTTAAGCATTTTGAACTTTTAATGTAAATAGCAGGTTACCCGTGAGGATGGGAAGGAAGCAAGGCTGGTGTGAGATTTCAGGGGAGGGAAAGGGCTGTGGTGCTGGAGAATGCATGTTTAGTGAAAGCTCCAGGTTTCTGAACGTTACTTCAGTTTTTAACATTCAGAGCCTAACAGAACAGTTATGGGGACTGGATCTGGCCCCCCACATTATGGAAGTAAGGCTTCTCCCAGCTATAAAATTCTCAGGTTCCATGAGCTATTGGCTGAAACCTAGTGGCAGGATGAAGCAAGTAAGAATTAATGAGTTGCACATTCAGAAGTAGAAAATCAGACTTTTAAATACAAATACAGGTTTATCATCTTACTGTTCCACGGTGGACCTAGAGAGCAGTAGCTATTTTATTTTTTATTTGAATCATGCCTGATTGGATGTGCCATGTAAAGTTGTGGAAATGGATCTTTTTGCTATTCAACCATTCTTCCACACTTGAAAGTAAATATCACTATAAAAATAATCACAGTTAAATATGAAATAAATTTCAGTATTATTATCTTTGTGAGCTAATAAAGTTTAAAATAGAAAAAAAAAGTTATTCTAGAGAAGGAAGACTTATTAGAAATGAGTGCTGGTTCCATTTATACCTGTGTCATTACGCCTGTGTGGGAAAGTTGGGGGCGCAGGATCATGTTTAACCTGCGAAGGGCTTTAGTTCTCTCTTAAAGCTGATCAGTGTCATGAACTTAGTGGCCTCACGAGGTAAGGCTCCAACCCATAAGTGAATTAGCAAGAATCCTTAGCTTTTACTTTGCTGTTGCTGTTTAGTCCCTAAGTCATGTCTGACTCTTTTGCAACCCCATGGACTGTGCCCCACCAGGCTCCTCTGTCCATGAGATTTCCCAGGCAAGAATGCTGGAGTGGGTTGCCATTTTCTTCTCCAGGGTATTTTCCCAGCCCTGGGATCGAACCCACATCTTCTTCATTGCAGGTGGATTCTTCACCACTGAGCCACCTGGGAAGCCCAAGCTTTACACAGGGACTGTCTTATAGTTGCTATTGGCAATAACAGTATAAAATTGCTGAGAATCACAATATTGCTAGGCACAAATGCCATTTTTCTCTCCCTGCAGAAATGAAAATAAGTTTATGTCTAAGAGCTAAAATCACTCTTGCTTTCTCATCCCTCGTTTTCATAGACAATACCTTTTTCTTTTGCCCTCTACTCTTTTTCTTTCCAGTGGGGTCCCTACGGGAGCCAGTAGGAGCCAGCCCCAACCTAATGTGAAATATTTCTGTTCTCTTCCTTATTGTTAAACTGTGTGAGCAAAACCTAGGGCAGTGTTACCAACCTGCGCAGGGAAATGACTGTTAGACCTGCTTCCGGCAGCCTCCCCTGCTCCCCGCACCCCCAGCCTGCGCCAATCCTGGGCGGTTCACAGTGACTGATAACTTTGGGTGACCCATGCTCTCCTCCAGTGACTTCTTGGCCTTAGAAAGACTTTCCTCAGGTCGTCGGGGTAGACTGTCATCATTCAATTCATCTCGGGGAATGCTGCTTACCTCTCACTTTCCTGCTCTGCAGATTCGCCTCGCCACTTCTGGTGGTATCACTTAATCTGCTGGCTGTTGAGTGCTGCCGGGATCATCTGCATTCTGGTAGCACATGAACACTACACCGTTGACGTGATCGTTGCCTATTACATCACAACTCGGCTCTTCTGGTGGTACCATTCCATGGCCAACGAAAAGGTGAGAGCAGTGAAATTATCCTCGGATAACGTCTTTAAAGGCAGGGGACCCCTTTTCACACAGCGGGGTTTCATGTAGCTTAATGGGAGTAACTGCTGTTGCCACCTAAATGTGTGGTTGAGGTCAACTGACTTATAGGAATGACTGCCTCTTAAAGAATGTCACAAATATAAATGACAAGGGTAAAATCCTGTGTAATTGTAGAACACAGTGTTTTACTCATCAGCTAATGTATAGGAGAATTAAAATTGAATAAAAATTTAGGAGCCTTCTCTATAGAAGCTTTGTTGTGCAGCTAGGTGAGACACTGCTTGCACTCAGAGAACATATTTTGAGGAAAAGACACCAACTCTTTTAAAGTCAGGCAAAAATGAGTAACTAATGAATAACTGGACTTCGTACATCTTTTAGTGATACTGTCCTCTCCGACTTCCCTTGTCTTTCCTTCCCTATTTCTGCTGCCTCTTGTTCCCAGATGACTGTTTTTTCTTCTCCCTTTCATTCTGAAAGAGGTGGCTCAGATGTCATCTCTTCTGAGAAGCCTTGCCTATCTCCTGCTCTCTGCCCCTAGTCTCAAGACAGAATGATTCCTTCACTGTGTCTTCCTAGCCTTAGTGTATGTCCTTGGTGTTAATAGAGTTAGTCTGCATGCCATGACTTGCTTATCTGGGGATGTGAGAAAAAAAAGTGAAAGTGTTAGTCACTCAGTTGTGTCTGACTCTGCGATGCCATGGACTGTAGCCCACCAGGCTCCTCTGTCCATGGAATTCTCCAGGCAAGAATACTGGAGTGCGTAGCCATTCCCTTCTCCAGGGAATCTTCCCAACCCAGGGATTGAACCTGGGTCTCCTGCTTTGCAGGCAGATTCTTTACTGTTTGAGCCTCCAGCAAAGCCCACTTATCCTGGGATAGTCTGATTATTGTCTGATGCCTACAGTGTTGCGAGAGTTTGTGAACAATGAAATATGCTATTCCCCACGGATCTAACTCCAGTTCTCAGCTAGTGTTGTGCCCACTAAAAAATGCCCTTTCCACGGATTACTTCATTCATCCTTGCGGCCCTGTTTCCTACTTCCATCTTCCTTCTTCTGGTCCCATCTAGATATCTACTGACACCACTGAACCGAAATCTTCATCTCTCCCCTTAAAGACTGTTAACCTTATGAGCTCTCCTTTCATTCTTCCACCTTCCTTGAGCCATAGATCTGACCACTCACACATCCTGAAAATTTTTCCTCCTGGAGGTCTCTCATAGCCATTCCTGAGTCTCCATTCTTCCTGGAATCACAGGCAGATTTGCCTGAGCCACAAAGAGGAGGGGTTCGAGGGTGGAGCCAGAGTCTTGTCAGAGTTGATGCATGCGTGCTAAGTCACTTCAGTTATGTCCAACTCTTTGCGACCCCATGGACTGTAGCCTGCCAGGCTCCTCTGTCCATGGGGATTCTGCAGCAAAAATACTGGAGTGGGTTGCCATGCCCTTCTCCAGGGGATCTTCCCAACCCAGGGATCAAACCTGTGTTTCTTATGTCTCCCTCATTGGCAGGCAGGTTCTTTATCACTAGCACCACCTGGAAAGCCCTATCAGAGTTGGGGAAAGGAGCAAAGATGACTGTTGTCTTATGATCCAGATTCTGCTGCTTTCCCTGTTCAGTTATAGCAAATGACAGCTTAATTAAGAAGCAAAGCAGGATGCAAATCGTGAGATATGCCCTGTTTTCCTGTTCTTTACCTTTTACAGAACTTGAAGGTCTCTTCACAGACTAATTTCTTGTCTCGAGCGTGGTGGTTCCCCATCTTTTATTTTTTTGAGAAAAATGTACAAGGCTCGATCCCTTGCTGCTTCTCCTGGCCTCTGTCCTGGCCTCCTGGCTGCTTCAAATCATCTTGCAAGAAGTACTCACGGGTTCAGAAGATCGGGGAAGATAATGAGAAATCTACCTGAGGAGCAGAGCAGAGGCATCGGCTTACACCAAAAGATTTATCGCTGTAACCAAAGGTATAGTTTTGATTTTTATTTTAGGAGAACTGATCACTAAAGGAAGAAGCGGACCAAGTTTTGTGCAAGTGATTAGAAAGATGAACGAAGTATTACCCTTTGACTGGTTTTTTTTTTTTTTTTCCAATTCATCCTGAGAGTTATATTCTCCTTCGGCTCTTCATTCATTGGTGACAAGCCCTCCAACTGGGATTTTACTAATGAGCTTGTTAAAGAGGTGCCAAAGAACATACTACTCCTTCCTTATTCTTTCTCCAGGAAAGCTCTCTACTTCAGAATGTTTTCAGGATATTTTTTTTTTCCCCTCCAAGGTCAAAAGAATTTGTTAAAGTTTTAAATAAATAAAAATACCTGGATATAGACAGCTACTGTGTAAATAAAATCTCCAAATGTTGAGAGTGGTTTTTAGCATTAGGCTTCTCAGCCGTGGGTTGTGAGTGAACTCTGGGTGAACCTTGTTTCCGCCCTGCCTGAGGGGAGGTCAGGGTCAAGCCCAGGGATACGTGCTGCTGCTACCGGCCAACGTACCACGGGTCACTTTCACTTTATTTTTTTAACTGATAATTTTATAACTTAAAAAGTGAACTAAGTCAGTATAGAAGTATTTGAGACACCCCACAGATTTCACATGTGTGTAAATATTTCATTTTGAGCTTCCCTATGGCAGACATCCAGGAGACATGGGGTTGTGTATGCGAATGAGGGGGGCTTGTTCTCCACCTGGTAAATTCACCCCTGTATCCCCCAAGGCAGTCAGCCGGTGTAGCACAGGCTGAACACACACAGGTGTGTGAACTCACACTCTGGCCCTGTGGGGAACAAGCCTGTGTTTTTCACCCAGGTCACACACACCCTGAGTGAGATCTGTCATAGAGCTGTGAATTGGAACTCAGAAATCCAATTGGTCACATGTCACTGAAAACCATTTCTTCCCAAGTTCCATTGTGCTTTATGGAAAAACCAAGATGGAGTCCAAAAGTTTATTGCATCCTTGCCTTTTAGCAAGAGACTCGTTTCTTACGTACTGGTCCTAAGGACACATACTGCAGTTGAGTAATTTTACTTTGACCCTGAAATTATACCACGGTGCTGCACTGTAATCTACGGTTGGAATGGGTGTATTAGATGGTGACGGCTACTCAGTAAAGCGGGGTAGTTGTTTCTGAAGTTCTTTCAGGTGATGTAAAAAAAAAGAAAAAAACAAGATGGATTTTTTAAAAATCCAGCCAGATTCAGTGCATTGTTTAATGCTGGTGAATCTTTTGGATAATTCTTGGCTTGATTTCTTTAAACTTCTAGTAATCATGGAAAAACATTTAAGGTTACAAAATCATCAACACTAGTCAGAGAGGGGAGAAGTCAGTATGGGTAGCAGGAGGCAGTTACATTTATATTGATGGTGAAGATTTCTCCCCACTTAGAATGAAAAACATCCCTAAGTTTGTCATTGTAAATGAGTCAGCCTTGACTCGGTGTACAAAATTGGACTTTAACTTGTCTAAGAGAAGCACAAAACAATTCTGTTCAGAAGGGTCATCATCCTTTGGTGCTAAAATTCTGTGTATGTTTTCAGTATGATTCTTTCTGTAAAAGAGAAACACTAAAGGTTGAATCAGAAGGCAAAAAGACTAACCTACTTATTTAAAACACGAATTGAAACCCTGTACATCCTTGGCAGGTTTTGAAATGCAAGAAGTCTTTCCAGTATTTATTATTAAGTCAATAAGAACCATATGTACAGCTTACGTGGTGTATTTAGTTATAATTCTACATAATTTTCACTTATTTTCATTTGTTAAATACTGATGCTTGCGATAAGACAATGTATTCTACTTGAAAATACTGATTTTAAATTTCTCCTAATTGTGAGGAAAAGTGTCTGACATGGAAACTTGAGCTTTGTTCTCCTAACACTGATACATTCCTTGAGCCTCGAATTCAAATAAAACAACCTGATATACCTTAGAGCCTCATTCAGCTACATCTGGTATAACCCACTCTTTTTCAAATTAAGTGAGGAAAGGTGTTTAAGCTTTAAAAATCATGGTGTATTGATTATTGGACAACCTTGAAAACAGTATAAACTTTGCAATTTAGTCAAGTAATCCAGTTTTTTTTTTTTAAATACCATCACCTTTTGAAGAACTTTAAAAACATCTCTGGCCCCATGTATGGACACTAGTGCTCCCATGCTGTTTACATGTATATGCCATTGCTCTTTAATAAATGCTGTGGAAGCATGCGGTATGAAAATAAAGGGAGAGTTTCTAGAGTTTCTAGTCCCATCAGAGTTTCTAGATGGGAAAATAAGAGAAATAGCAAAACCCATTTACATTTAGGAAAGCAAACTTGAGGTCCAACCCAATATGCCACTTGGGGATATAAAACGTAAACAATTATTAGACTTACTGTGGTGATAATTTCACAATATGTACAAATAAATCATTACTTTATAAACCTAAAATTAATATAATGTTTTATGTCAATTATACCTCGATTGAAAAAAAACATAATTACAAGCTTGCCTTTTGAAACAACATAAGATCTTATCTATTATCCTTGTTTTTGTAAGCCAGTGCTCTGGTTTGAAGCTTTTTCTGTGATTAAGTCCTTGGTGCAATATTTCTCTAATATATAATTTCTATGAATGATGCCACATTTTTAAAAAGATCTTTCAAGTGAAAATGAGTTCCTTTCAAAATTTTTTTTTTTTTGAGTTCCTACACTAGCTCTGAAAATAAAGTCTTCTTACCCACTCAGTTCCACCCAAGGTAATTTGGAATTTGGTATTTAATTTCCTGGCATCTTGGGAAACAAGTTTTGCTATGGAAGGAAGGTGGGAAGGCAGCTGTGATGAGCTGGTTGATGGATGACAGTGCATGAGGTTCTCTGTTGTGCAGCAGTGTCCCCTTGTGGAAATATGTTATATGACAAAATAGACAGAAGTGTATTTCCAAGGTTTTAAAGGCATTTTAAAATTATTCTTTTTACCAGTAATATGAAAGCATCATGCAAAAATAATTATCTTTTTCAAAAAGAATTATTTTAAAGGCATTTTAAGCCTTTTCCAAAGGGAAAATGTGCTTAGATCACAGGGATTATAATTCTAGTCTTTTATTCATCTGATCAAAGAAAATTTGCAGACCATTTTTACCTCTCACTATCACAATCATTAATGTCTCCCTTTATAATTCCCTATATTTTGTTTACCTTGAAACACCAAGTTGGCCATCTTTCTCGTGTTTTTTTTTTTTTACATGCTAGAATTCATGCAGTTACTTTTTTGAGAGTTAACATCTTGTTCCTTGAATATTTTGAATATTTCTCTTAAAATTCTTTTATATTGTTGACTTTGTTTTGTGCTGTAAAGCTGATTTCAGATATAAGCCAGTCTTAACACACTCACTCCTGTAGTGTAAGGAAGTGTGAGAAGGAATTTCTTAATAAATGAGTTTACATGTTTAAATCAGACATATTATAATTAATATGCCATATGTTGAAGGCTTTTCTATTTGTATGTATAAAGAGTCCTTTTTTAATATCATTGTGTTGCAATAATTTAACTCCCTTGACTTACTTGCTAAAAATATTTCTTCTATTAAGAAGTGCTCTTGACTTCAATACCTAAACACTGAAAATCATGTCGAAAGGTACCCAAAGATAAGTTTTTATACAGATACACACCTTGTAAGTTCTGATTGATTTTATTACTCATTAATCTAACTATGTTGTGTTCTGAATGAATCATGAATGAGAATAGTTCTTTATTGTGGATTTATTTAAAACTGTACTTTAAAAGAAAAAGAAGCTATAAGCTAATCTAATTGTCAAGTTGGAATTCATTATTTAGTTTACCTCCTATACAATGATTAATGCTGCAAAATGTATGGTTATGTTATACTATATTCACAAAAGAAATATTATTACAAGGTTTGAGAGGTAGCCAGTTGCATCTTTTGGAAATTTACTGTACTGTTTCAATGTGTTAAGTGCCTTGTTGTAAAGTAAAATTCTAAGTCTAGAATTCATTATTTTCCTGACATATATTTTTCATTATGATATATACTGTATATTATTGTAATAGTTTTATTAAATGCTTATGTTTTAATTAAATATGTAAATTTCAGAAACTCTTTTCTCCTACCCACTGGTACCTTAATCATTGGTCTGTCATACAGATTTGAATTCAGGTTCTTTTTTTCAAAAGGGGAAATTCTCTTAGATTAGAAATATGTTTTCCACGCTTGTGCTTTTGTGTTTGTAAAAACATTTCAGGAGGAATTTGGGCATGTTAACTATAGTTTGTACTTCAAAATGCCATTTTACATTTACATTTTAAGTGCCTAATTGTTAGTTAAGACTAATTTATGTTTCTATTCTTAAAAAGAATGTGTCTACTTGGTTTCTAATCTCTTTGGCTTTGCTTAAAAAAAAAAAAAGCAAGAGCCTATACTTTGTATTTACCCAATAAACCACCGTGACATCAACAGTCTTTTCAAAATTAGTATTATGGGTTTTCTTCAATTAAAACAGATCATTGCTTTCTTTAAATGTTTGTAAAAATTATTTAGTTTTAAGTAGTTATTAAAACCACAGGAGGGTTATTTTCTTCAAGCACTATTTTTAAAATAAGCTGATAACAGCATACTAATTAAACTGGGGTGTTATTTTCCTGCCCTTGGATTTAAGGTGAGAAATAATTCACAACAGTATAAGGTCATTTGTGGAGAGGTATAAAATCAGTTCCCTTCTCCATAATTCAGATTCTCATTGTTCACAGAGGAACAAAATCATAATTCAGACTCTCATTGTTCACAGAGGAACAAAATCATAATTCAGACTCTCATTGTTCACAGAGTAAAAAATAACAAGATGATAAATCATTAATTCTTCAAGAAAAGCGGAGTCCTTTCTGTTGCTCACTTCTGAAATTATCACCCTTTTCT